AAACGGCGATATTTTTTCTTTCGAAGACGCTAACCGAGCCATGCAGAGCGGCGTTTCAGGAATCATGATTGCACGGTAAACAGCTTCTCTTCTTCCCTCCTCTAATATTTGTGTGTGTGCATGTGTGCGTGCGTGTGTGTGTGTGTAAAACTTACATTGCTTAAGGGAGAATTCAGAATGGCTCCCTTGCTTCCCGCCAGAAGGTCACCAGATGATCTCCTCCCTCACATACATCCGTCATCTGGGGCTGGGAAAGGCCCCTGTCTACAGCCCGTGTAGAAATGCTACCAGCCCACACCGAGTTCCCCCTGGAATAACCCCCCCGCCACGACTGTTCCTCTTGGTCACACAGGGGAGCGCTCATCAAACCTTGGATCTTCACTGAAATCAAGGAACAGCGGCACTGGGACATCTCTTCCAGAGAGAGGCTGGACATCCTCCAAGACTACACAAACTACGGCCTGGAACACTGGGGCTCGGACACCCAAGGGGTGGAGAAGACCAGGAAGTTCTTGCTGGAGTGGCTTTCCTTCCTCTGCAGGTGAGCAAGAGGAGGGGGGGGGGTGTCCTTCATGGCTCCTGTACATTTTTCCAGGTTGTTAAGCTAATGAAGATTTAATAGCTGACCAGCTGCTCCAAGGCTGTAAGCCAAGGTGATAAGTCAGCAGGGTGCTGCCGCTTTAAGAAGCTGTCTATATAAGGGAGGCTATGAGAGGGCCTCTCTTTCTCCTCGTGTTCTGTCTCCATTGTAGTTCTCTGTGCAGAGTAATGAAGATTGCTTGCTTGCCTGGTATTTACCTAACACATGTATGTATGTATGTATACAGCAGCCTTGTATATCAACCTCAGCCGATCACAATTGCAGTATTCTCTTAAAAGATACAGTATTAAATGACTATCCTGGTTTATATATTGCCAACCCAACTGTTAGGTGACTATCATTCCTAACAACCACTGTTAAAAGACAAAGCCTCCGTTGTGCTGTGTTTCGCTCCTGGGTTGTCTCACAATAGCAGCCACGCTGCAAACACTCTGACGCGGATGATCGTGGTGGGCAGGACAGCCCTTTTGCAGGAGAGAACTGGAATTAGCTCGTTAGGGACTCAAACGTGCTTTTTCCAGAGGCAACTGGACTTTCTGGTTTTTTGAAGACGCATCACTTCTCATCCAAGAAGCTTCTTCAGTTCCAACAGATTGGAGGGGAATGGATTTATATATTCCTTTGCAGACAGCTGATCATTTGCATCCTTTTAGAGCGTCGTTGAGGCCACTTGGAGGTTTGTCTGTGTCCTCAGGGTCACCCGAGTGGTGCAGATGGGCGTGGAGCCTTCTTGGAACGGCGGAGGACATCATCCACCCCTGGTCTACAAGACAGTCCTTTCAGGCGACCCCGAGGACACAGCTAAATCTCCAAGTGGCCTCAACGTCTCTCTGAAAAGAACGCAAATGACCAGCCGTCTGCAAGGAATATAAATCCTTCTATTCCCCAAAGGTGGTGCTTTTTTGAGGAGGCAAACTGGACCTCCTTGTTTTTTTCTTTTTTCTTTGAAGATGTTTCACTTCTCCTCCAAGAAGCTTCTTCCGCTCTGACTAGATGGTGGGGACAACCATGACCGGGACGGCTGAGCGTGTCTACAGATTTCCGTTCCCCATCATCCAGTCAGAGCGGAAGAAGCTTCTTGAATGAGAAGCAAAACAAAATCTTCCAAAAAACAAAACCAGAAAGTCCAGCGGCCTCTTGACAAAGCACCCTTTGGAACAACCATGACCAGGATGGCTGAGTGTCTCCACGGGCATCTCACTTTTCCTTTTTTGGGCACTGCTCAGGTACATCCCCGTGGGCTTGCTGGAGTGCCCCCCACAGCGAATCAACGAAAGGCCCCCTTACTACCTGGGCCGAGACTACTTGGAGACCTTAATGGCCAGCCAGAACGTGGATGACTGGATTAAGATCAGGTACGAGACGCTGAAGGGAAAGGAAGAAACTGAATCGATTTTGACTTGGGACTTGTTTTATCAATTGCTAACTGACAAAAACAGGAGCTGGAGACACAGGGAAATACATGAAAGGAGGAGTGATATCAAGAAGATTCATTAACTTGATTAGCCAAATAGTATAGTTACTGTTGTTGTTAATATTAATATGGTGTCAGGATTCCGGCAGTTACCCTCATTTAAATCAGGAGTCTCGAGCCAAAGTTCCAAAACTTCAACAGGATTTATGGGGAGTTCACATGTCCAGCACTGCCTGGGTGCTTCTGAGGCACAGAATTCATTGTCACCCTTGACCCTGGTTTTCCCTTCCACCACCCACCCCCCGAGAATAGAATATAGGATTAGAATAGGATAGAATAGAATAGAATAGAATAGAATAGAATAGAATAGAATAGAATAGATATTGGAATGAAGGGTAGAATAGAATAGGAATACAATGGAATGGAATAGAATAGAATAGAATAGATTAGATTAGATATTGGAATGAAGGGTAGAATAGAATAGGAATACAATGGAATGGAATGGAATAGAATAGAATAGAATAGAATAGAATAGAATAGAATAGAATAGAATAGAATAGAATAGAATAGAATAGAATTCTTTATTGGCCAAGTGTGATTGGACCCACAAGGAATTTGTCTCTGGTGCAAATGCTTTCAGTGTACATAAAAAGAAAAGAGACATCCGCCAAGAGTCAAGAATCATAAGATACAACAATAATAGTCACAGGGTACAATAAGCAATCAAATTATACTAGGAAACAGTCAATAAAAATTGTAAGGATGGGCCTCATTGGGGAATATGAATACCATAATTAATATTCTCCAGTAGGACACATCCATTAGCCAAGAGTCATCAATCACATTCTCCAGTTAGAATTGTGCACAGCAGACCCTTCAGTCACCTAGTTACAATCTCTGAAAAACTGCATGGAATGCACTTTTGGTTTCCAAGCTGCTGCAATGCTCTTTCAAACCCCTTCTCCCCCCAACTTTCCCGTTGACAACTGTTCATATTAATGCAATATAATATTGTTGTAAATAGTATGATGATGACTTCCTAAAAACGATTTGCATCCAGACAACACACTGTTCAATTGAAATTGGAATTTTCGAATGCTATAAAATAAAATGAAAATGTATCGAATTATAATGAAAAGATCCGGTACGAGAGCGCATAGCCTCGCCTTGCTGCTCCCTTCTGAATTCCTCTCATCCTCAATAATCCAAGTTTCTCTTCTTCTTTTTCTTTTTTTCCCCCAGCGAGATGCTGCTGGGCCGCGTTCCCGCCAACTTCTCCTTCCTGCCGAAGCACAAAGCGAACTCTTACAAATAGCGGGGCTGAAGCGCCAACATCGTCCGCCTGCTACCTGCGTGTCTTATTTGAATCATTAAAAGAAATCTTTTTATTTTTAAAAATCACCTGACTGCTGGCTTACTACGTTCCTTGGCTTCCCCAATCGGTTCCCCTTCAAATCCATCAGAATAGAGCTGGAAGGAACCCCGGAGGTTTTCTAGTCCAGCCCCCGCCCTCCCCAGGACCTGGGTGTGTTTGGGTGGGTGGGTAGGTTGCTCAGCCCAGCCTCTCGAAGGGCTCCGCTCTCTTGCCTGGCCTCTTCTTGGGGAGCCCCCACTCCAGATTTGCAGGTACTCCTCGGTTTACGACCACAAAGCTGGTCAGTGAGACGGTTGCTAAGTGAGCTCTGACCCATTTTACAACGTCTCTTGCCACGGCTGTGAAGTGAATCCCTGCAGGCCTTTTCTCAAGACTTTGCTTGTGGATCGCGTGGCACACACACACACCCACCCCAGGACGCTGCGACCGTCATAAATATGAGTCCGTTGCCAAGATTTCTGATCACTTGACCATGCGGGTGATGCTGCAACGGCCGTTAAGCGGTGAGAAGCAGTCGCAAGTTCAAGGGGTTACCTGTATTTATTGATGTACCACCTTTTATTATTATTATTTTAATTTAAATTATTTGATAAATAATTCAAGGCAGGAAACACACCTTAGTCTACGTCATCCCCAACTTGCTGGAGTTCACTTTAGTGACCGTCCAAGGTTACAACAGCACTGAAAAATGGGACTGTTTTTCACACTTACGACCATTGCAACATTTCTCCCCCCTCTTGCATTTCCCCCCCCCCAATTCTTTTCAGAAGCTTGGCCAATGGCTCGTATTTACGACGGTCATAGTTTGTGTGCGTGTGTGTCATATGATTCCCCTTTTGCAACCTGATGAGCAAACGGGGGGGGGGGAGGAAGATTCACTTAACAACCAGGTTACTGGTTTAAAGACTGCAGCGATTAACTTAATGGCGGCAGTGAGAAAGGTCACAAAAGGGAGCAAGCATCACTGAAGAAACACCTCCTTTAGCAACCTAGATTTTGTTGCGGTCGTAACTCGAGCACTCCCTGGTAGTGTTTCCCACACGACAGCCCTGTGAGGTGGGCTGGGCTGCTAGTCAGCTTGAGGCCGACCCTCCCCGTTGCCCAATCAAAGCCCCCACCCCACGTGGTTAAAGTTTTGGGGGGTAATTGCCTCCTTCCCCCCCCCCCGCACTCCCACCCCAAGTCCTGCTCTCTGAGGGCCTATCGCTCCCTCTTCTGCCCCTCTGGTTGGGGCCCAGCGAGCCTGCGGGGGGTCTCCACGCATCAGCGACTCACGGCGCCTCAATGAGGACTAGCCGTTTTCGGTACCTTCTCTCCCCTTCCTGGCTCTCTCGCAGCGCTCCGGCCGTCTCCCTGGCAACGCGCGCCCCTCCCCGCAGCCGCCCGTCCGCGCGCGCGCTCCCATTGGCCCACTGGCGGACGCCGCTATTCCCGCCCTCTCCGCGCCGCCTCCTATTGGCGGGGGACGCGGAGGCGCCGAAGCGGGCGTTCCCATTGGCCGGGAGGACTGCTCGTCTCCCGTGAAGGGTGGGGGGAGTTGCAAGAGAGGAGGGGGTTCCGGTTCCGGTGTGGAGGCGGCGGCGGCGGCGGCAGCAGCAGCAGCAGCAGCAGCAGCAGCAGAAGCAGCGCTGGCGGCCAAGCGAGCGTCGGAGGGGGCCGGGCCCATCGCGGCGAGGACAACACGCCAGGCCGACTCCCGCCCGCCCGGCGCCGAGCCATGAGGAGGCGGCGGCGGGGGGAGCAGCAGCAGCCGCACCTCCAGGCCTGAAGGCAACCGAGCCCCGTAGGCCCCAACCCGCCGGGGAAGGGTGGGGGGGGGGCAACCGGCCCAACCATGGACAACCAGGTGAGGAGGAGGAGAAGGAGGCCCTCCTTTCGCCCCTCCCTCCCAGGAGTGGGCGGGGCTGGCCTTCATTGGGCGGGCGGCGGCCACGCCCACACCCTGTGGAAGGGGGCGGGGTCTGGGCAGCAAGCCACGAGGCTGGCCACGCCCACCAAGGTCCTCATGCAACACCCCCCCTCCCCTTCTGCCTGCCTGCCTTTTGTTTGTGGGGGGGGGATTGATGGGGGTGCCTTTCCCTTTGAACGGGGGGGGGGGGGAAGGGGGAAACCTGCCCCAGAGGGAGGGAGGGGAGGAGCCAGCTCACCTGAAGGGGCGTGGCTTCAACAAGGCAGGGAAAGCATGGAGAGAAGAGAATTGGAATAACTACAGAATAGAGAATGCTCTCGAATTAATGGGATAAAATAGAATATGGGAGGGCAGAACAGAACAGCAGAGTTGGAAGGGGCCTTGGAGGTCGTCTAGTCCAGCCCCCCTGCTCAAGGGGATGATGCGGAGCAGAGGCCGTTCTACCCCCCCCTTCCTGTTACATTTGGAGGTCGCCCCCACCTGCAAGCCACATCTGGCATCTGCGTCCAGCTGTAAGGACACCCTAGGCCAGTCCTGATGTAGCCTTGCAACTGTGTGCAAGGTGAGAGTAGCTGTGTCTGATGAGAAAGGGGGTGTTGTGTTGTGTTTTGGTCTCGGAGGCACTTGAATGTTTTGTGATGTGGAGAGTTTGGAAAAAGGGCAGAGGGAGAGCAACTAGGATGATTAAAAAGTCCCGGGGATGCAAACCTATGAAGAACGACGGTTGCAGGAATTGGGGACGGCCAATCTACAGCAGGGGTCCCCAACCCACTGGTACTGGCACCAGTCCGTGGCATGTTGCCAACGAGTCCACGCAAATAAGCCAACCCCCGTGGGATGCAGGCAGCGTGCAAAACCACCTCTCTTTGTGGACACCTCCCAGTCTGTGGAAAAAACTTTCCTCCATGGAACCAGTTCCTGGTGCCCCAAAGGTTGAGGGCCACTGCTCTGGAGAAAAGAAGGACCAGGCGAGACATGAGAGCAGTCTTCCAATATTTGAGGAGCTGCCCCAAATCGGGGGGTGGGGGTGGGGGAGGGGGAGGGTGGGGTGTCCAATAATTCTCCAAAGCACCAGAAGACAAGAAGCAATGGATGGAAATTAATGAAGGAGAGAAGCAACCTGGAATTAAGGAGAAATATTTCCAAACAGGACAATTAACCAGTGGAACTGCTTGCCACCAGACATTGTAGATGCTCCAACACTGGAAGTTTTTAAGAAGAGATCGGACAACCGCTTGTCTGGAATGGTATAGGTTCTCTTGCATGAGGCTGGACTAGAAGACCTCTGGGGTCCCTTCCAGCTGTATTCTGATTGATTGAGTCCTCGACTTAACCACCACAATGGAGCCCCAAATTTTTGTTGTTAAGTGGGACATTTGTTAAGTGAGTTTTGTCCCATTTTAAGACCTCTCTTGCCACACACAGTCAATCCCCTACAGTGGATTAGTGAGCAGCCTGGTCGTTAAGTGGATCTGGCTTCCCCAAGGTGACCCCGGGACGGAGCAAAGGGTCCTAAACTGTGGCCAAGCGTCTGAAGTTTGATCATGTGAACCACGGGGGAAGCTGCGATGGTCGTAGCGGTAGGAAACGGTCCTTAAGTCGCCTTTTCCAGTGCCATCGTAACATTGGAACGGTCACTAAACTGTGGTTAAGTCGAGGACTTCCTGTCGTCGGACCATGCTGGCTTGCTGCCGCGGTTGTCGTCGTTGGGTGAGCCCCATGTGGTTGCAGACTCGTGCGATTGCCGTTTGCGATCTCCTGCTGGCTTCCCCATTGATCCTTGGGGGACAGGTTGTCATGGCAAACTGGTTGCCAAGCCCATATCGCTGGGGAACACTACAACGGCCGCAACTACAAGTTGTCGTTCCCCGTTCAGTGCTGTATACCTTCAAAGCATCACAAAAGGAGGGGTCCTCACACAAGGACAGCCTGTAGAGCAAAGATGGGGAGCCGGCGACTTATAATCTCTAGACATATAATCTCTATATAATTGCAAGTTGTGCCAATTGGGTCAGCTGCAAATAATAGCTTATAAGCAGCCCCGACTCCACCTATAGTAAGAAATCAGGTTAGCGTATTGCAGGAACCTTAGAAGTTAGGATAACGGAGTTGGAAGGGACCTTGCAGGTCATCTAGTCCAACCCGCTGCTGAAGCAGGAAACCCTCTACCATTTCAGACAGGTGGCTGTCCAGTCTCTTCTTGAAAAGCTCCAGTGGTGAAGCAACCACAACAACTGGTGGCAAGCTGTTCCACCGGTCGATTGTTTTCACTGTCAGAAAATTTCTCCTTATTTCTAGGTTGAATCTCTTCCTTGATCAGGTTCCACCCACTGCTTCCTTGTCTAGCCTTCACGTGCTTTGGAGAAGAGGTTAGCAGAATAACAGAATAAAGGAAGGGACCTTGCAGGTCATCTAGTCCAACCCCATCCTCAAGCAGGAGAGCCTACACCATTTCTGACAGGTGGCTGTCCAGTCTCTTCTTGAAAGCCTCCAGGGATGAAGCTCCCACAACTTCTGAGGACAAACAGTTCCATTGGTTAACTAATCCTCAGTGTTAGGAAGTTATTTCTCAATTCCAGGTGAATCTCTCCTTGTTCAGTTTCCATCCATTGTTCCTTGTCTGGCCTTTGGGTGTCTTGGAGAATAGCTTGACCCCCTTCCTCCTCCTCTCTGGGGCAGCCCCTCCAATATTGGAAGATGCTCTCCTGTCTCCCCTGGTCCTTCTCTTCCCTAGACTAGCCAGGCCCAGTTCATCGTATGTTTTAGCCTCCAGTCACTCTCTCTTGCTCTCTTTCTTTCTTTCTCTCCTTCCTTCCTTTTTCTCTCTCTCTCTCTCTCTTTTTTTCTTTCTCTCCTTCCTTCCTTCCTTCCTTCCTTCCTCTTTCTCTTGTTCTTTCCTTTTCTTTCTTTCCCTTTCTGTTCAAATATTGGATCACTGCTCTCCTGTCTCCCCTGGTCCTTCTCTTCCCTAGACTAGCCAGGCCCAGTTCCTGCAACCGTTCATTGTATGTTTTAGCCTCCAGTCCCCTCATCCTCCTGGTTGCTCTTCTCTGCACTTTTTCTAGAGTCTCAACATCTTTTTTATTATGTGGTGACCAAAACTGGATGCAGGACTCTAAGTGTGGCCTTAGTAAGGCTTTATAGAGTGGTATTAGTACCTCACTTGATCTCGATTGTATCCCTCTCTTAATGTAACCTGAGATTGCATTGGCTTTTTTGGCGCCGGCTGCACACAGCTGGCTCCTATTTAGCTGGTTGTCCACCAAGACTCCAAGATTCCTCTCCCAGTTCCTGCTATTGAGCCTGGTTTCAACCAGTCTATTTTTTTCACCCCCTTTCTGCTGGAACAGCTAAGATAATCCAAAGAACACCTTTGCCTCCAAAGCAGGTGTGTGTGTGTGTTGTGTAAAGTTTGTAAATATCACCCTTTCTTTCTATGCTGAGTCCTCATTCACAGTTGGGAGAGGGTAACCTACAGACATTGGATCTCTCATCTGGATGGAGCAGTTGGCTTGAAGCTTGATCTGTAGTTTGTGCGTGAGAAATGAATGTGCGGTATGCTTTTATGTTTCCAATAATTGATGCTGACTGCTAGGTCCTAACTCCATGGGAAAAGCTGGTTTTAAACAAAGGAATTAAATTGTTTCTTTCCTGAGCTCTAAACAATTGGTATAACTTTCTTTTTTCCTTAGGAAGACATCGTTGTAGTTCTCCAGCTAACACTCAAGGTGTTTTTCCCTCCCTCCCTCCCTCTCTTCCTTTGCCCTTCCCTTCCCCTTCCCCCTTCCTAGTGTACAGTCCAGGTGAAGTTGGAGCTCGGACACCGTGCCCAGCTGCGCAAGAAGCCCACCACCGAGGGGTTCACCCACGACTGGATGGTGTTTGTACGAGGCCCGGAGCAGTTTGAGATTCAGCACTTCGTGGAGAGGGTGGTCTTCCGTCTCCATCAGAGCTTCCCGAAACCAAAACGTGGTGAGTGGGCAGGCAGGCGGGGCATGTCCCAAGAGGCAACCTGGAAGTCAGGAGGAAGACTTCTGACCGTGAGAGCAATCCACCCATGGAACAGGAGTTGCCTTCAGAAGTTGTGGGAGCGCCATCCCTGGAGGCTTTCAAGAAGAGACCGGACTGCCATCGGTCAGAAATGGTGTAGGGTCTCCTGCTTGGGCAGGGGGATGGACTAGATGACCTACAAGATCCCTTCCTACTCTGTTAAATCGGTTGGTAGGTAGGTAGGGATAGAAAGAAAGGAAGGAAAGAAAGAGAGAGAGAGAGAGAGAGAGAGAGATACATGTTGTGGGAGCTTCATCCCTGGAGGCTTTCAAGAAGAGACTGGACTGCCCTCTGTCAGAAATGGCGTAGGGTCTCCTGCTTGGGCAGGGGGATGGACTAGATGACCTACAAGATCCCTTCCTACTCTGTTAAATCGGTTGGTAGGTAGGTAGGTAGGTAGGGAAAGAAAGAAAGGAAAGAAAGAAAGAGAGAGAGAGAGAGAGAGAGAGAGAGAGATACATGTTGTGGGAGCTTCATCACTGGAGGGTTTCAAGAAGAGACTGGACTGCCATCGGTCAGAAATGGCGTAGGGTCTCCTGCTTGGGTGGGGGGTTGGACTAGATGACCCACAAGGTCCCTTCCGACTCTGCTAATCTGTTAAAGAGTATCTGTTAGGAACTTATTTGGGAAGTTGGTTCTCCCAATTGAGAAAAAAAATAACAGCTCAAGGATTTGTAGCTCCCAGAAGCAGCCTGAGTTCTCCCTGAAATGCTAGATTTCGACCTGCAGGGAAGTCGTCTCCTCCCTCGTCTTGGTTTTCAGGCTCCTATCATGTTCTGACCAAATATAAACAGCCCTCGGCTTACGACCCCAGTTGAGCCCAAAACGTACGTTGCTAAGTGAAACTTCTTTTAACTTCTTTTTGCCCCATTGTCTGACCTTCCTTGCTACATTTATTAAGCGAATCGTTGCCGCTCTTCAGTTAATGACATCGTCGTTAAGCGAACTTTGACTTCCCCGTGCACTTTGCTTGCCCACGGGATTCGGTTAAGAATGGCAGCGCCGATCCATTGGCCACACCTGTGACACACACACACACACACACACACGCTGCAACCGTCATAAATACAAAGCACTTGCCAAGGATCTGAATTGTACGGCCATGGGAAGCCCGCAGCGGTCGTAAGTGTGAAAAGCAACCCTAAGTCCCTTTTTCCAGGGTCCGTTGGAACTTTGGTCCATAAATGAAAACCGTCGTAAGGCTAGGCCTACTTGCACAAGTCCTCCATTGGAGGGGCCCAAATGACACCCCCCCCCCGCCCCCCCCCAAGGATGCAAGCCGGAATGTCAAGGAAACTGCTTTGAAAAAGTGACTTAGCCTTACGACGGTTCGTTTATGGACCAAAGTTCCAACGGACCCTGGAAAAAGGGACTTAGGGTCGCTTTTCACACTTACGACCGCTGCGGGCTTCCCATGGCCATACAATTCAGATCCTTGGCAAGTGCTTTGTATTTATGACGGTTGCAGCATCTGTGTGTGTGTGTGTGTCACAATTAGAATCGCAGAGTCGGAAGGGACCCTGGAGGTCTTCTAGTCCAACCCCCCATGCTCAGGCCGGAAGCCCTATGTGTCATTTCAGACAAGTGACTGTCCAGTCTTTCGTCTTAAAGACACCCGATGTCGGCAAGACGTTCCCCTGGTTAATTGTTCTCACGGCCAGATTCCTCTCCGGCTCTTTCTTGGTGGGAATGCCGGCATCCGACACTCCTGTTTTACGTCTCGGGGGGGGGGGGGGGGGGGCTTCTCTTTTGCGCCAGGCCACGCTCCCCAACAAAACCCTGGGTCATTTAGAAGCCTGGGATCCTGAACTTTTGAGATCGGACACTTTAATTCCTTGACTTACGACAGCCGCCGGGACGGGAATTTCACGCTTTTGTAAAGTACAGCCGTATCACTTAGCGGCGGGGCTGTCCTTGTGTCCCCCGGTTGCCATTGTCGACTGAACCCCAGGGTGGTTAGGTGAGCTGCCAAAGTCAGCGGAGAAGCTGGCAGGAAGGTGCCAGGTATCTCCCAATGGGGTGCTTTCCAAAGGCAGCCGGACTGGTTTTTTGGGTTTTTTTTCCCCTGCTCTTGAGGAAGAAAAAGAAGAAGAAATGTTGGTTCTCATCCAAGAAGCTTCCTTGGTTGTGCCTGGATGATGGGTGTGTGTGTGTGTGTGTGTGTGCCAGGATAGGTTCCGACAGGTTGGGAAGGCGCAAGAGAGACGCAGCTCAGGTCGGCACGGGGGGACAGACACCTGGGGGTCTGAGGGGGCCGCCCAAGAGACAAGGCTGGGAGGTTTGTGCGGATCAGCAAAAGGAGACCCAGGTTAGAGATGGTGCATTGGAGAAGGTGCCCCAGGCGGCGAGTGAAAGGCCTGCTTCCAGACACTACACGGGGGTGTAACAAGAGGTGTGGGCCGGGGAAAAGGTGTGTGTGTGAGAGGGGTACAGGTTAGGAAGGAGGAGTGCCAAGGTGTGTGAGTGGCCAGCGTGACCACCGGCACAGAGGGACCGTGGGGCGGACGGGTGGCAGAGAACGACCCTTGTGGCGTTTCCCGCAGGCCTCCCCATCGCCTTTCTGGGGAAGCCCGCCGGGAAGGTTGCCAGCGGCTAATCGCTTGGTCGCAAAGGCGCTGCAAGCCGGTCAGGGTTACAAACCGGTTAGCAAGCATCCGGCTTGCGATCGGGTGACCCCCGCCCCCACCCCATCCCCAAGGGATGGGGTGTCCAGCATGGCTGGGAACTCCAAAGCCCCGCCAAACCCACCGGCACCATCAGGACCTCGGCCGGCCGCTGAAAGAACCGTTGTAGGTTGAGGACGGCCTGTAAGCTGTGCCGGCACGTGGCTGAAATTGAATAGGAACCGGGAGGAATTGCCCGGGGGGGACGGGACACGAGAGGAGGAGATTTCAGCTAGGTGGGCGGCAGCAATTGTGGGGTGCAGCTTCTGTCTCCTCCCCCCCCCCCCCAGGTCCTCACATCACGTCCCTCTGTGTGGTTCCCATTGTTGTTGAGGGAGTGAGTTTTAAACATTCTCCCAGGCATTGCTTTGATAGTTTCAGACGCCCCGGGGGTGGGCCTTGAAGGGAATGAAGGGAAGGGAAGGGAAGAGAAGAGAAGAGAAGAGAAAAGAGAAGAGAAAAGAGAAGAGAAAAGAGAAGAGAAGAGAATTCTTTATTGTCCAAGTGTGATTGGACACACAAGGAATTTGGTTGGGTGGTTGATTGATTGATTGATTGATTGATTTAGAAAATTTATATTTCCGCCTACTCACTCCTGGCGACGTAAAAGCACCCTATAAAAGAAGTAAACAGAAAAATAATAATAAAAATAAAATAATAACCCTACACACACACACGCACGCACACAACATGCTTTTGTGCCAGCCATTTCATGGGCTCCATCCCGCTGGGGGTTCCCCAGGCCCGCTGGCAGAACTGCGTCTTCGGAGCCTTCCGAAATAAGGTCAGAGTCTAATGTCCGGAGGGACGAGGTTTCAGTTGAGCCCGACATTTCGGATGCTCTGGGGGTCATTGAGCTTTGTCTCATTTTAGGACCTGGCCTGCCGCGGTTGCTAAGCGAAAGCGTTGCAGTGGTTAAGTCAGTAAGCCAGTGGTTAAGGGAACCGGGCTTCTCCGTTGACTTGGCTTGTCAAAAGATGAGCACCTGACCCCGGGTCACGGTGACCGTCGTAAATACGAGCCAGCCCGCCGAGCGCCCGAATTTGCGTCACGTGACCCCAGGGATACCCCAAGGGTGGTCAGTGGGGGAAAGGGCCCTGAGTCATTGTAACTTTGAGCGGTCAGTACGTGAAGTAGAGATTTTCTAACGCTCCTTTTTGCTTCCCACAGTTTGCAAAGAGCCCCCATACAAAGTGGAGGAGTCTGGCTACGCGGGGTTCATTATGCCCATTGAGGTCTACTTCAAGAATAAGGTACCATCCTCCTCCTCCTCTTCTCTTTCTCCTCTTTTCCTCCCTCGCTTCTCTTCCTCACCCTCCTCCTCCTCTTCTCCTCCTCCTCTTCTCACCTTCCTTCTCCTCTTCTTTCTCCTTTCCTTCTCCACCTCTTCTTCTCTTTCTTTTCCTTTCCTCCTCCTTCTCTTCTTCACCCCTCCTCCTCCTCTTCTCACCTTCCT